TCACCCCTGTCCTCCCCAGCCAGCTGGGTGTGATCCCCTTACAGCCCCTGCCCTTCCCTTCCCTGCTCCTGCTCCTGCCCCTGCCCCTGCCCCTGCCCCTGCCCCTGCCCCGCGGGGAGGGACGCGGTGGGACGGGACGGTGCTGAACGGGCTCCGCTTCCCGTGACCCGGGGCAGCGGGGGGGTTTTCAGGGTCTCTGCGCTTCGTGCTGCTCCTGGGGTGCTCGAGGAGCTGCGTAAAATAACGTTTTCCAAGCCCGCAGGATGCTCGTGAAATGAGGGGAAAACCAAACACGGAGGGGGAAGAAAAATAAGAAAAAAAAATAAATATAAAAAGGTAGGGATTACCGAAAAAAAGGAGAGTCTTGCACGTTGCCTCTTTGTACTATAGAAACTGGGGGTGTGACTGATCTCCAAACCACCTACACTCCAGGGATGCCACCCAATCAGTGTCTGTGCTGTGCAGAACTCCTCCCCGCTCCTTTTGGCTCCGCACAGCCCTGTAGAGAAACTGCCTGTTCTGGCTCATACAGCCTGTAACATATAAAAGCTGTTAGCAGCTCCTGTGGCCAGAAGCTTCAAAACCAGCAGACTTTTGTTCTTTGGGGGTTTGTAATAAGAGACACTCCTTTCACAAAGGTTCATATCATCATATAGGAGAGTGCTATATATACTGGGAGAACAGTAGACTGTATTATTTTTTTTTCTTTATTTTTTTTTTCTTGGTATTATCCAGAGGTAAGCCATTCAGCTCAGTAAGTTTGCTTTGCATGCAGTTTTACCTATGCATATCACATTTTGCTGAAGTTAAGATTTGAATGCTGTTTCTAAGATGCTTTCATGCTTTTTATGATGTCTTTTGCCTACTAGTTTATCTGTGCCACATTGTGTCAAAACAATCCATGCATATGAATAGGCATAGCTTAGGATAAATTTTTATTTTCAGTAGAAAACATATTGTGAGGTTTATTGCAGTCTCCCCATTTAAGATTTATAGTGTTTTTTTGGGATGATTGTGTGTGATAACACTGTCACTATTTCAGGAATACTACTGGCTCTGGTTGTGTAGTTCATGGTATAATGATACTTCATTTGGTGTATTTGTAGTAACAATTTATTATCATTTACTGTGGTTATTGAAAATTTCTCAGCAACACATATTCTGTCTGGATTTTTATGATTGAGCTGACAAACAGAATAATTTTTCTGATCACAGCCTGCCAGTTCACTTTGTCTTGCTACCCAGTTGTACAGAATCACATCTTTGACATCTTTTCTTCTACAGATCTGTTTTCTGCTGCCCTGACTTAAAGCAGAGTACCTCTGTGGCCTATCTTTCTTCTTTGGCCCCAAAATGACAGCAATCACTGCAATCAGTTGTGCTTTCTTATTTTCCATTCTCTGTGAAACAAGTGCATTAGTGTTACCCAACTCCACTGACCTACTCCTGTCAGACAATAATTTCACTGACATTGAGACAGCTTTGGCAGCTCATCTGGACTCTGCAAAAATTCCCAAAGCCAGGCGGAAGCGCTACATTTCACAGAATGACATGATTGCCATTCTTGATTATCATAATCAAGTCAGAGGCAAAGTCTTCCCACCTGCTTCCAACATGGAATATATGGTAAGTGAGTTTTGTTTATTTCAGAGTAAAGCAAACTGTAAGTCATTGATATCATTTTATTAAATAAACAGTGAGGATTTAGTTAAGTAGATAAATGATTTTTAACTATTACTTCTTGCTAAAATGTTCTTTCCTGAATTTTTTTAAGCTGCATTAACTTAAGCAAGTGAAAGCTAACTACTGACCTCTGACCTCTTTACGCTGTTGAGTTTTCATTTCTGTGACTAGTCCCAAGGAAGATTCTGGGGCTCAAGTAAATTAATTTGTAAGTTAACTGCTTGTTGGCCTGAAGAATAGTATTTGGTCACAACATGTGATTGCATGTGTTTAAAGTGTTAAACATCAGTAGCCCCATAGCTTTTATGGAGTACCCCGAAAATCCTTGCCCTCATGTATGCAAAAAGGCAGACAATGAGCATTTCTAATTTTCTCTCAGACATAGACAATATGGTAAAACTGTGCTTGCAAAGTAATTAATCTGATGCACTGTTTGTCTCATGCTTATGCATTTCACTTATGACAAATTGTTTGTGTGCCTCTAATATTTTTATGTTTCCATCAAATACAATGACCCTTTTAAATGTTTCTCTAGTATGTAGGATTTCAATGCTATATTTGTGGCAGGCACCTTTTCCCCTGGTTGGCAAATACTCATTATGTGAATTATCTGTTCCTGCAGGTATGATAGAAGTTATTCATTCACTGTGATTTCATACTTGGCACTGCTAGCTAAAGCAGCATGTATGCTATTTTGTGTTCCAAGTTTGAATGCATGCCTACTGTGGACCTCTAATGTTAAACATAGGTTGGCCAAGCAACATTTTTTTACCTTCTCAATAAGGTATTGACACTGTTTTGAAAGCACAGACAAGTTGTGTCAGCACCATAACATCTGCTTAAAGTCAAAGAGGTTCTTATATGACAACAGACAGTTAACAGGTTTGAGAAACAGGACACCATGAGTTTGACATAAAAAGGGGACAGCAGTAATAACAACTCCTTTTTAGCAGCTAGTGACTAACAATTTGGACATCTTTCAATCATAGATGTTACCTAGATCTAGATTTGATCATACAATCCGCTTAGTGCATCCCAGCAGCACCTCAAAATGCTGAGTGTACTCAAAATGTTGCAGGATAAGGCCTGTTGCCACACCATAGGCTGAGTTTGAAGTTTGGTTAAGTGAAAAGGTCAGAAATAATAGAAACAGAAAGGTCAGAAGTCAAGCTCAGTCATCATTTTCATTGCTGTGCTCTCCACTGATGTTTCCTTTGATTCTGCATAAATAAACTTTGTTGTAATGTCTGAGGGAATAGCAGCCTACCATGCCCTTCCTTGGCTTGTGTGTTTTAGAAATATGCTCCTGCAGTTTGCTTAAGTGAAGCCAGCACCCTGTCATATTCCCAAGAGTTCTGTAAGTGCATTGTTCTTAGCCTGCTCAGTAAAAAAAACCCAAACCAAAATAAAACAAGAAAAAAAAGCTTCAAAAAGGAAAGGAGTCATCCTTGATAAATCTATTTTAATGCACTCAGTGTTTAAATGGCCAAGATTTAACCTGTATCAATTGGGTATTCTGCTGTATATTTGCTCTTGAATGGTAGTGTGCAAGGCTTGGTACAAAAATCAAGACTAAAGACATGCTCTACAGCTATTTACATGCTGTTCTTTTCCTTGCCCTTCTTACTAGTGAGTTATTTTACCAGTACCAACCAGCCACAGGATGTACCTGTGTTCCGATCAGCATCAGCTCCATCAGTATTCTCAAGGGAAAGGTCTAAAGCTTTCTTTTATGTATGATTTCCCAGTCTGAAAGTGACTTCAGAATTCAGAGCAGCACCTCAAGCTGTGTAGCTGATGATCCAGAGTCCAACTTGAACTGGGGTCTCTGAGTGACAGTCAATCCTTTCGCCACCAGTTCTCTTTCAGAATTTAGTCTGTGCGTGTCCCATGTAACTTCACAGAGCAAAAAAAACCCAGTGAGCAACATCACACATAGCTTGCTCTGCCATCTGCTTTGTAGCCATGGCAGCATCTTATTTAACTTTTTACCTCTGAGCCTACAGAAAACTTGTTAAGAAAGTATTGAAGTTGACATGGTGCTGTAAGCCATACCACATCTGGGGACCATGGTATTAGTAATGCCCTTTTGAATTTCCTTAGTCCATTCGTTGGTGTCTCTACAGTTTCATCATATGGCACAGCATATGTTGTGGTTTATGGGGATATGAGGTTGCTGGTGTTATATATTCAAGATATTGTGTCACTCAATACTCATTTTCATAAATAAGACGACAAGCATATTATCATTACCAGCAGACGAGGTGTACTCTGCTTGAATGAACCTTAAAGAGTTTGTGTTCCTCTCCTGAATACTATGGAAAAGTGCAGTGGCAGTGATGAGAGTGACCTTTCCCATTTCCCCTAACAATTACTTGAAAAGATGTCACACACTAAAGAGCTGGAATTGTTTACAGATGCAGTAGATTGTGGAAATATTGAGTGTTTTGAAGCAGAGAAGGACTAAGCAGTTTGGAAGCACAAAATGTTTTCTCATCTTTTCTCTGTTGACAGTCCAATTGTGTTTGGTTCTTTTTTCCTAATTGTGTTCGGAGCTCTGTTCTTCTCGTGAATCGCTCTATCACATCCTCAGTTCTCTACAGTTCCATTTGCTTTTTCCTTCTCCACTGGTAAGAACTGGGCTTTAGCTCTACAGGTTGGTTCTTGTGATTCCAGTTCTTCACACCCAATCTGTTTTTGGGCTTTTCTCCTTGACACATTCTGTTCATTCCCCTGATGCAGTCTGCTTCTCACACCTTCAGTGCATTTGTAGGTACTTGGAACTCCTTGGGCATGATTGCGTCTGCACCTGCTGTATGCTGTAGGACTTCAGGTGAGGGGTCTCAAAGAACGAGTCTGAATGTACAACCCAAACCATTCTAAGATATTCTGACATAGTTTAAATTCCTTTTGGTTCAGTGATTGCATAAGTGCACTTTAATATTTGAGAAAATGTGCCCCTTGTTAAACATGTCACTTTGTAGGACACAAAGTTGTAAAAGTTTCCCAGACTATCCTGAAGCAAGTTAGTTTGGATACCCAGAAGTTATTTCGTGGTGACATAAAGATAGTTTCTCATGAGCTGGTGGCAGAGGATCTGGAAGGGAATGGAGAATCTGAGCCTATTAATTTATAGTAAATCCACTTTAAACACCACAATACAATGGACAAAGGAAATCAACCATTGTTCTAAAAGAAAAGTAATCGTTTTCCAGAAGAAGCGACTGTAGTTTTATGAGGGAGCCCATGTGAGTCATGGGGGAAATGTGTGCACTCTCTGGCCCAGGAGTGACCCCCTTTGCTGGGGTGATGAATGTAGGGACTTTGCTTCCTGTCCATGAAGATCTGCAGACAACCTACAAAGTCAGATCTGAGAAGCAAGAAAATAGCCCACTTAGCAGTCACAAAGGTAAATAACTGCCTTATTATTTCACTTGTAAATTTTAAAGTCTTCTTGACATTTTCTTGCTGTCAAGGTGATCTTAAAAATGCTCTGTGGACATGCAATAGTTGGTGGGTAACAGAAAAAACCACAACCTACTTCAAGTTTTTCAAAGTCCTATTTAATACCTAAAGCTATTTATATGGACATGGAAAAAGGGAGTTAATTTGGTTTTCTTTCCAATTTTAAGGCGCTGATGATAATAAGAGTCTCAACTTGTTTACCTATTTTTTACTGTTGTCATTGTGGTTTCTTAAGCATCATTCTAAATCTTAGAGGACATTTTGTTCTTGAATTGTTTGCCCTGGCTCATATACATGGTCCCACTGAAATCATCCATGTCTACAAGTAAGGATTGAAGGGCTGGTTCCTTCAAGATTTATATCTAATGGGTTGGATTGGATCTCTTAATTCATATAGTTTGTCCCTGCCATGTTGCAGGACTTCCTTCTACATTAAATACATATGGTTTTCATCTTGTCTACTCCTAAACATGTATAGTGATGCTGTCTCAGTCACATCTCTTGGCAAATATTATGCCTTAGGAATAGAAATTATTTCCAAATGCCTAAGTTAAATATTTGACTCTAAAACTCAGATAATTAATCTTTATATGCACTTTTTAACTCCCCAATAAAATTTCTCTCCCTTTTAATTTCAAACATTGCCCTTTATGTACTTACTGACAGTTTTCTTGGCAATAAGATGCATACATGCGTATAATGTTTCCTCAATTTCTTTGTGCATGGCTTACAATACTTCTGCATATTGGGAGAAATTACAGTTGATCTCCATTTACAGCTCTTTTGTTAAATCAGTGAACAGCACCCTTAAATGTCAAAGCAGATTAGACCCATCATTCTAACTCTGCATGCTTAAAGACACAAGTGCCACAGTGCAATGGAGAATTTACTCTAGAAGTTATTGGCAGCCTACACTTTCCATCGAATAGCCCTGTTCTCTTAAACCCTATATACCTGGTCAAAGTCGAAAAAAAATAATCAGGGGGTGAGAGGGTACAAAGATCTTAACCTGCATTTCATCATGCCAGAGCACAAAGTAGGTCTAAGTATAGTCCACTCCAGTCTTCTGGGAGGAGAGATATCCAGAAACTTGGATCTTAGCCAGCGTAATCTGCCTATCCTAGTTTTCCTTGGTTTTTAGCTTGTTCTGTGCTGGGAATTCACAAGTGAGCTGAGAAGAGATGTGAAGGGGTGTACTGGTGAAATATGTTCACTGGTTCCAGTTTCTCTCTTCTACCAGTTCTTCTTCTTTTTAGCCCACTGAGTATGTCCCTTCTCCCTGGTGCCATAAACCAGCACCAGGAGTGTCTGAAGATCATGGAGTAATGAATTCTGGAGTATCAGTCCTCTCAGAAAACTAGAGAAAAACCAAAACAAAACAGAAAGAACCTCTGTGGTTTACATGGTTACAGTTAAGGGTGTCTGTCTGCATGACACCTTTGAAAGGACAAAGTAATTTTACAGCATATTCAGCCTTT